GAAAGATTTGATGAAATGCTTTGCTGACAAGAACTGGGGTCACGACAACGATGGAGATGCCTTAAAGATAGTTGTGTTGTATTTAATACACACCTTCATTTTTTCATCCGAGAAGAACAGCACAACCATCCCAAGGCTGCATTTTGACTTGGTCGAGAGTGGGCGCTATTCTGAATATCCATGGGGTATAAAAGCATTTGAAAGCCTGACAAAATCTATTAGCAAGAAGATGGATGCTCAGAAGAAGTACTACAGGATAACTGGGATGCCCCTAGCTATGCAAGTGTGATTTTATGAGTCCTGTTCAAATGTTGATCCCAAAATTCACTCCGAGTTGATAACGTGGTCCCTAGAATACTCAATTGGAGATCCACCGAAAATCAGACAAACTTTGCTTATCTGATGAACGGCATGTTCAATGACAAGGGAAACATGGTAATTTACAATTTCTATCCTGCTTAGTCTACAATTTACTAATCATTAATGTTGCATACAGCTGCATACAGTTACTGCTGCATACAGCTGCATACAGTTGAATACATTTGTTGCTGCATTCATTATTATTGCTGCATACAGTTGCATATAATTTACTAATCATTACTACTGCCTTCATTTGAAAACAAATTATATTTTGATTCCAGATTTGCATACATCCATTGTAGTAAGAATTTGATTGTATTTCATTTTTTAGATTATTTACAAGGACATCTATCCAATCTATATAGAGCTTGCCATTATTCAGATTCCTCCAGTAGGCATTGTTGTTGAGAATAGTCCTACTCCTACTCATTCAGACAAGTCGGCAGAGGATTCGGATGACTTTTCTCCTACACCTGATCTTCGGTGTAAAAAGAAACATACTGCAAGTGTTGGTCCATCTTCATCACCGCCCCATAAAAAGCACAAGGAACAAATTATTCATCCCTCAAATACAGAGAATTAATCTAAGATTCCTCCTGTTGGTGTACCTGAAATTGCACAAAATGTTTTGCATCGTAATCAGCCGGCAGATTCCAAAAATGATGAAGTATCTTCTTTGACGAAAGACCTAAATTCATTCAAAGAATACGTGAGTTTTTTTATCCATATATTAAACATTACAGTTTTGTGCTTAACCTTCGTATATTTTTGGCGCACTTTTCTAATTATTTATGTCTTGCTAAGGTTGTGGGTGAGTTCAAGTCTCTGAGATCATTGATCAATGATAACTTTAAGAAGCTTTCTGACCATCTTCAAGACAATCGGCAAAAAGAAAGCTTACACCAGAGAAAGGAAACCACAAGAAGACGTGATGATGGTATTGAAATGTCATATGATGCCAACTTGCAAGATATTCCAAAAGGTCACAGACAAACTGATACATCTGTCGGCGATAATGTTGAGGTTTAACATTTTTTAACCTCTTTAGTATATGTTTATATCTCTTGTTTGCTCTTAATCGGATTAATCATATATAAAATAATTTGTAACACTATGAAATACAAGTATATACAGAATATTTCAGTATTTTTAATTATCTTAATCCTATATGCATTTGTATTTTCCTGACTTTATTTATACATAATTATTGTGATCTTTGCAGTTGTATCTAGATGTATTCATGTATATTAAAATATGATACTTGTATATATTTAAGCTTCCTTTATACTTACACAGCAGTTAGATGCATTTAAATACTGCCTCAAATAGCATCTGTATTTATATGTATTTAGATGTATTCTTAACATGTAGTCTGATGTATTTAAATTCTCCTCTTAAATACAGCCTCAACAAAATACAAATTCAAGATCAAATATGTATTCTATTTATATATATTTAGATGTATTCATACAGTCAGTTACTATATGTATATAGGTCATTTATAATACACTAACATTGATGTATATGTCTAACAAAATACAATAGTTAATGCTCTTTGTGTGAAGTCAAGAGTGGAGGGGAATACTACATTGGAGGTGCCGGGCAACATACAACCTATAGGCCAAGAGGGTGTATCTACAAATTACTATGTATCGCAATTTGAGCTGGACGACAAGTTTCTTCCTAGTCAAATTCCATAAACTAGAATTGTGGTACACAATAGTGCAAAAAATGTTGAATCAACCCCATTACCATCTCCAAGTAGATGGTATTCTTCGCCTTACGAGTCTAACTTCGACTACGCAGGTTAGTATTTTATAAACTTATGATCTATTTCCCCATGGTATTTATAATGTTTAGTCTCTATTTATGAATTCAATGAACAACAGGTACCTCAGTAAAGTTGACCTCCATATTTGAAAATAGACACCCCTTTGAGGATGATTCAATGACGGGGCCACATCCTACATTAATTATTTAGGAATACGAGAAATGGGTTTGTGATGGTCTTATCGCTAGACATGAACAGAAGTGAGTTTTTTTCCCGGTATGTCTATTATTATTTATATATTTAAAAATTGATATAATATTTTTTATATCATACTTGTAGAAGTAATTTGGAAGACCATTACAAGAAGAACAAGTCAACACTTCATATACCATTGGATTTTGGAGTTAATCAAGTCAATTCAAAAAATTGGTTTTACCTTCTATCATTTGACGATAAACTATGGGATGACAATGTAAGTTTTAACCCTTCAAAATCCACTATAATTCATTTCTTTATGATTGGTTTGTCTAATTGTATAATTCACAAATTGAGCTCTTACACAAATTTGTACTCAGATGTATGTTTTACATCTGATGTATTTAACTGTATTCTGATGTATTTTTAACAGTACTCAGTAGTTGTAAATAACAGATGTATTTAACTGAATCTGTATGATGTATTTAATGGCCTCATTTGCCTTGAATAACAAATGTATTTAACTGTATTCAGATGTGTTTAATAGTACTGAGTAGCTTTAATAACAATTGTATTTAACAGTATTAAGTAGATTTGATAACAGATGTATTTAACTGTATTTAGTAGCTATAATCACAAATGTATTTAACTGTATTTAGTAGCTATAATCACAAATGTATTTAACTGTATTCAAATGTAGTTTAACAGTCCTCGGTAGTTGTAAATAACAGATGTATTTAACTGAATATGTATGATGTATATAATGGCCTCATTTGTCTTGAATAACAAATGTATTTAATTGTATTCAGATGTATTTTAACAGTACTCAGTAGCTTTAATAACAGATGTATTTAACAGTATTTGTATTATATATTTAACTGATTATTCATGATGAAAATTCAGTTTTTTCCTTAATTTCATTCATTGTACTAACACTATGTTATTAAATTTCTATATAGCATATTGACGTCATATTCTACTATTTGAGAAAGAAGGGAAAGTACAACCAAACAACCAACTTCAAATATACAACTGTTGATTGTATATTCAAGACAAGAATCGCAGAAATCTTCGACAGGTATGTTGATACAGATAGTATTGCAAATGTAGCCAAAGAAGAGGATGTGGTATGTGAGTACATAAGGGGTTACAGATTGCTAGCTAATGTACCTTGGCATACTGTTGATAATGTCTTGATACCAGTCAACTTGAAGGAGAAACTACACTGGATATTGGTTGTGGTCTCATTCAAGGAGAGATGTATCAAAATGTATGACTCATACAGATCTGCAGGTCATGATGCATATATAGCTTCTGAGATAGATAAGCTTGCTAAGCTTGTACCTCTGTATCTATCAATCAGTGGCTTTTCCAGAGATAGTCAAGACATAGATTGATCTACTTACTCAACATACACTGACAAGTCACATACTGATCTCTTTGAAGTTGTTTTCATATCAAATCTGCCTCAACAAAAAGCTGGCAGCATGTATGTATTCAATCATCATGTTTGTATCATTTTAAAACTCTAATTGTATGAATTATTTTTAATTGTTTCAATCAACATTTTTCAGGGATTGTGGGGTGCACGTTGCTGCATACGCGGAGTTTCTGAGCAATCTTGGTGGGGTTCCACAAACAACATTTGACTCCAATCTACTATGTCAAAGATATGGTGCTGTCCTCTGGGACTATGCTATGCGGAAGATAGACGTTGATGCCATAAGCGAGAATGAAGCACCCTCAAAGATTGCTAGCAAAATCACGGAGTCAGATTCAAAGTTGCAGATAGTGTTAGAGTAGCTTTAGGTGAATGTAGTTTTGGAAGGTTGTTTTCGGTGAATACTGTTTTTTGAATAGTTTTTTAGTGAAGATGGTATTCAGTTAGAAAAAACCATGTTTTAATCACTTTATCAACAGTGTTCATATATGACCATTGCAACTTTTCAATCTATGTTTCATTGTTTTGTTCATAAGTATTCATGCTTAATCTACAGTTTCTATTCATATGTATCTTACAGGATATATTGATATGTATTCAACAGGACGTATAAGTATGTATCAAGATTCAGTCACTTGGCTTGTATATCAAAGTCAGAAACTATATGTTACATGTTTATACGTATGTACTCAACTTGATGTATTTATTTCACTTAAGCAATTTATATTCATACTTATACAAATCTATAAGTAATTGCATTCATTTGGTTTGATTTGTATAGTCAAGGCAGGCACAATGTATAAGACAATTTGTATTTTTGTATGTATTCAACATTGTTTATTAGTATGTAATAAGCTCCAGTCGTGTGCATTGTATATCCAATTCAGAGACTGAGTAATACAATTGCTATAATTATATATTCAGCAGATTGTATATGTATTTGTTGAAATTGTTATATAGTTGTATTCAGAGTATTGTGGTTGGTTATGTATATACAACTCAGCCACTGTATATACTAGATTGTCTAAGTATCTGTTGAAAGGTTGTATTCGAATGTATTCAACACAATACTACAACTAACTATATCCAGAATCTATTCATTTAAAGGTTCAAAATGATTTATTTTACAATGTCATCAGAAGTAATGATAAATCATTGGAGCACTAATACATGTCAGAGTGTTAACTAAATCCTACGTGAAGCATTTCTACATGTTCGCTTATTATGTCCTCCCTACCTACATATGCTACATGAATGTTGATTTTTCGGCTGCAGCAATTCACTGAAAGGTTTATCGCGCTTCTTCTTTGGCCTTCCAGGAGGTCTTTTCCATTTGGGTGGTAATACAACTTCCTCTGCAACATGTGCTGGTATATTCCATTCATTTCTGTCCGGTAGTGGGTACACAAGCACATCGTATGTCATTACAACAGAATTTGGTTTGTAATAGTTAGAGCAATAATCTTCTGGCATTAGAAATTTGCTCTTCAATACAGCCCAAGCATGTGGGCATGGTAACTCATCAGCTTGGAATCTCCCACAAACGCATTTTCTCTCTAACAGGCAGACGGTGTAATTCCTCCCTCCATCAGTAACCGTATGTAACTATTCAGTCAATGGTACCACCTATATTTAAACATAGACCTATAAGTTTTGAGCACATATAAACAAAAAAATTCATTTATATACCATAGAATAGACGTATTAAATATACAGCAGTATGAATTAAATCAAATATGTTTTGAATACAAATATATTTCTGTATGTATAATGCAGAATTATTAAGTTAAATAATGCNATTTAAACATAGACCTATAAGTTTTGAGCACATATAAACAAAAAATCATTTATATACCATAGAATAGACGTATTAAATATACAACAGTATGAATTAAATCAAATATGTTTTGAATACAAACATATTTCTGTATGTATAATGCAGAATTATTAAGTTAAATAATGCATCATATATGCATAATGCATAATTATTTCAGTTAAACAAATGAATTTCTGTATATATAATACAGAATTATTTAGTTAAATACAACTGAATACAGAAGAATACATCATTTATGTAGACCAGCAGACTATAAACTATAATTACGTCTTATCTTATGAATACACTATTATACATCTAAAATCTGGTTAACTCTAGGCAGCTGAAAAGAAACAAAAACATTATAGGACTTTGCATGATAATACAACTGAATACATCTACCTAAAAAAGGTATAAATTATTTCAGAAAAAGTTAAGCTATCTAAAGAAAGAGCTAAATATATGATACAATTACATTAATAAAACTTACAGTCATGCGTGTAGACATTGCCTCATTCAAAGTCAGCATCTCCTGGTATTTTTTTCCAAGCATTGTGTAAGTTTGTGTAGCTTCTTTGCGGTTAGTGCAATTCCAACGTCCAAACATCTTCCTAACTTCTTCGAGGAAGTCGTATATTGACAATTCCCTCGCTGACAGTAGTGTGGCACTGATTGACTCAACAATATTTGACGTCATGGTCCATCCCCTGTTAACATGTGCATAAAACCTAGCCCAATGTTCGTATCCAGCTAACTCCAAGTATTCTTTCACCCTAATATCTACCGTCTCCACCTTCTCCATCAGACTGTCAAATTCAGCTTGTGTGTATGCTTTTGCCATCGAGAAGTATATCTCGCTCAACTTTGCATGGCTCTTTTTGAATTTCTTATATATGTTGTTCCATAGATGCCATATACAGGCAAAATGCGGTACATCTGGATACACTCTCGATACATATTTAATGATACTCTCATTTCTATCTGAAACGATGCACATGTTTTCCCTGCCACCGTATGCTATCTTGAATTGCTCAAAGAACCACGTCCAAATAGCATCGTTCTCTGAATCAATAACACCATATGCTAGTGGCAATATATGACCTGTAAAGACAATTGCATGTTATTTCTATCCTGACTAGTTTATAATTTACCAAAAATTAATGCTGCATACAGTTACTGCTGCATACAGTTGAATACAGTTGATGCTGCATTCATTATACAGTTGCATATAATTTACTAATCATTATTGTTGCTTTCATTTGAATACAAATTACATTTTGATTCCAGATTTGCATACATCCATTGTAGTAAGAATTTGATTCCAGATTTGCATACATCCATTGTACATATTTTTAAAATATGTATTTCAATCTTTACAATATTAATAAAATTTATCATAATTCACGTACTCACCTGCACCATCCAACGTGTTGGCCGAGACGAATGTCCCGGTATAGTAAGATTTTAGGTGACTTCCATCCATAACCACAATGGGTCTACAATGACCAAACCCTTTTATAAAGGTATACAAAGATATATACACATACATGAACTCATTTTTGGGCAATTTTACCATTCTAACGTGTGAACCTAGATATGTCTTATCCATTGTATATAAGTATCCTGATAATGTTTTGTATGAATTAGCCGGTTCACCTCTCAAAAAATCCATCGTCTTTTCTTTAGCCCGCCACGCCAACATGTAGCTAACATCTACACCTAAATTTTATTTCACATCATCAATTATATCCTTTGGGGTGTATTTCCTCTTATGATTAGTAAGCTTGGGCCTAATCAGACCACCTATAAAGTTACTACTTGCATGTCGCTGGTCATACACTTTGTCCTTCAACGGACATGTATGCTTATCAATGAACTCTCTCACTTTGAATAGTTCTGATTTGTTAATACTCGAAGCCTTAAACCTCCATTCACAATCTTTTGACATACATAATTAGCTGCAAAGAATTTATCATTATACATATGATTAGCATAAATGCTTACAAAAAATCACTCATATACGCATGAACACAAATACGACTATATTTATTTGTGCAAATAATACAACTGAATACACTTATAGTTATATGCATACATTTGTATACAACTAGTAAACCAATGAGGAAAACAATGAGAGCCACTGTAATAAGTTTATACAATTAAAATACACAAGAATACATGTATTTGAAGACCATAAAAAAATAGTTAACCACATCAGTGAAGATCAATTGTCTTACAAATATGCGTAAACACATCAATATATAACTTATAACTCCAACCATAAATACAAAATACGACAAAAATAAAGAATAATAAAATACACTCAAACCTGACAGAATTAGACCTATCAACTCGGAATTGAAACCTTTGAGATATAGCATAATGCTCCATCACCTCGTTCAATGTTGCTTTATCCTTATATACTTGTCTAGCTATAACCTCCCTTTGATTAGTTTTTGAAATTATCAAATCCTTGTCCAGTTCGAACACCCCAATTGCTTGTCCTGAGTTGACAAAATCTAGTGCAAGTGTATCATCTGTATCAGAATCATACCTTTGAACTGATTTGTCTATTTGCACAATGTCGCCTTGAATTAAACTACTTCCGGATACAAGTACTTTTTCAATAGTTGTTATGCACAAAGGATACATCCCGGGTTCTCTGTTCTCTTTTTTCAACTCTACATACACACCCTGTAACCCATATTAGTTTGTATTTCCATTGGCATGCAATTTCCTTCTACTTTGTATTGAATTTTAATGGACTTTGAGCTCAAATCTATGCCCAGTTGATTAGCGATTGACGCAACCAAATCATTATATGACGCATACTCCTTTATTAGTATTCCCTCAATTGAATAATCGACGTAATTGCTCTCAATGTTCCACTTGCCAAAACGTCGCAACAATACTGTTAAACTTGCCATATGTATACAATTGTATCAATCACAACTTTTCGTTGTTGAAAATAGAACTGGGTACGCACTGGAACTATAGAAAAAAAGGAGAACTTAAAATCCAGATGTTGCTCTGCTTCGTGAATGGAGGACTACAAATTTATGGTGCAATAGTTTGTGTTAGTTGAGTTATGTTAGGAGAATATCAAGTAAATTGATTTCCTTTCCGTTTTAAACCAGTTGAAAGGTCCATATTTTACGCTAAAAACGTTACTGTATTTTTGAATACACCTGGTAAATACAGTTGAATACATCTGGAGATTAGCTGGACTTCCCTGATTCACGCCTATTTTTGCTACTATATTCATGAATACATTAGGTTAAATACATCAAATACACGTAAAAGGTATCTATAACACGTAATATAGCAAATGGTATCTATAGATGGCTAATTACTACTAAAAGATAGTGCTTTATAAAAATTAGTAGAACCGTAGTCACTCATGAGAGGAAAGGTCTAAGAAAAGGTTTGGGTTCGTCATGGAAAATGGATTTGGGCTTGAGCTTGGGCTCACATTTTGGGGTAAAAATTACACTGGGCGCCCTATTTGGTCGCCCTCATTTAACCTAATACCCATTTTTTAAATTTTTTTAACTTGTACCCATTTTTTAAACAACTTCAGCCCCATTTCTCCTTCTTTTTCTCCTCCTTCGTTTTCTTCTTTATTCTTCTACAACGATGACTTCAACATTATTTTAAAGTACACATCATTACGAAGGAGTAGTAGGTGCTACAATACACTGACTTGAAAACTTGAATCGGCCTCTTGAAATTGATAAGTGGCTGGCTGTATTCTATCTTCCTTGGTAATTATTAAACATGCCAAAAAATTTTAAGATTCTGTCTCTGCAAGAAAACTTAATACTACTTGTGTTTTGGAGCTTGAAGTACTCATAAGTGCTTAGTTGCCTTATAATCAGAAACTGCCTAAGGCTTAGCGAAAAACATCTCACAGTAGAAGACAGCTCAAAGCTACAATAAGAATGGGTAGACTGCACCAATTATATGGACCATGGTAACCACATTTAAACATATTTTATCTTAGTGGTGCAGTAAATCAAGGATTGATCAACTAACTTTTGCAATCGTGGCATGGTTCATGCAACATGCTGAAATTAATCAAATATAGAACAACAACTTCAGCTCTAGAGATGAAGTTCCCTAATTACAAAAACAAAAACTTCAGCTCTAGAGCTGAAGTTCCCCAGTCATAAAAACTTCAGCTCTAGAGCTGAAGTTCGCTAGTTACAAACAAAATTTCAGCTCTAGAGCTAAAGTTCGCCAGTTACAAAACAAAAACACAAAAACAAAACTTCTTCAGCTACAAACAAAAACTTCAGCTCTTCGCCAGTTACAAAACAAAAACACAAAAACAAAAACTTCAGCTCTAGAGCTGAAGTTCGCGAGTTACAAAACAAAAACTTCGCCAGTTACAAAACAAAAACTTCAGCTCTAGAGCTGAACTTCAAGCCCGGCTACTAAAATGCTGAAGTTTTGCGTCATTGTCTTTGCTACTTTAGCCCCGTATGCTAAAGTTAGGCGAAAAAGTGGGTACGCTTACATTTTTCTTTACAAAGCGAGCACAAGTTAAAACGTGACAAAAAATGGGTATAGATGCAAATGCCCCTTTTTGGGCATGTATATCTTTCCTTCTTGGGCTTTATGTGGCCCGTTAGCATCAGTGACGCATATATCACGTGGTTAGCCATAACTCTGACTAACCATGGTAAGATTCTAACCAGCAACGGTGAATTTTAACCCAAACCCTTTCTCTATCAGACTCTCCGAGATCCTGACACCTGTCTCAACCCGACGGCCACGATTATCTTACTTTAAATTATCCGCTTTCACATCTTCCTATATAATGTTCCGTCTAGCTTAAACCCTAAGCACAAATCGTACACAGCGGAAACCTCGCTGAAAAATCTAGAGAGATGGCAAACCCAAAGGTGTTCTTTGACCTTACCATCGGCGGCACACCAGCTGGCCGTGTGGTGATGGAGCTCTATGCCGACACCGTTCCCAAGACGGCGGAGAACTTCCGTGCTCTCTGCACCGGCGAGAAAGGCGTCGGAAGGATGGGCAAGCCTTTGCACTACAAAGGCTCAACCTTCCACCGTGTGATCCCAGGGTTCATGTGTCAAGGAGGTGATTTCACCGCCGGAAACGGTACCGGAGGTGAGTCAATCTACGGCGCCAAATTCGCCGACGAGAACTTCAAAAGAAAGCACACCGGTCCTGGAATCCTCTCCATGGCTAATGCTGGACCTGGAACCAACGGTTCTCAATTCTTCATCTGCACCGCTAAGACTGAGTGGCTCGATGGCAAGCATGTTGTGTTCGGTCAAGTTGTTGAAGGCTATGATGTGATTAAGAAGGCTGAGGCTGTTGGATCTGGATCTGGCAGGTGCTCCAAGCCTGTTGTGATTGCTGACTGTGGTCAACTCTGCTAGATCTGAGGACGTTGATGATGATCTAGTTTATCTATATTTAAGTCGCCGTTTTTGGCTTTGTTTTTAATTTTAATCTATCAGTTACTGCTTGCTTACTGTGGGTCTAGTTCTAGGGTTGTGCTGTAATTGGTATTGGTTCTGCTTCTACCAGTTTATGTTTAATCTTAAAACTATGGTTTAAATAAGATAATACTCTCTGCTAATTTTGATTTTTGTTTTAATTATCTCCTGTTTTGGTAGAATAATTACTTTTTTGTTCGTGATCTAAACGAAGTCAAGTCATTATTTTGGCCTGTTGTATTTTGGCTGATAAAGAGGCGACCGACTTTTGACCGATGCGGTTCGCGTGAATTGATTTTGTTCTCTTTCCATAAGTTTTCTTAGAGTTGTGGGGCCAATTTTTGGGAAATGAATCTGATTCCGAAACGATATTTTATTTCGTGGTATGGATCGTATTGAGTGGTGTGATTGTAGCGAGGGTCCACAATTGTGGATGTGGCGCACCATCAAAGTATGTAGGAGTGCATCCCGGGAAATACTTTATTTTTCAAATTTTCCCTCCGGTTCAATTTATGTGGGCACGGAATTTAGAAGAGTTTGAATTTGTAGTGTAAAATGATACACATATTTTTATACGACTATAAATTATTATATAAAGGTATTGTTTCTAAATAAGGAAAGTGATCATTTTTTTTTTGCACGGATCAAAAAGAAAATATCACATAAATTAAAACGGAGGGAGTATTATTATTAATATTAATTTGAAAAAGAAAATGTACTATAGAGGATACTAATTTGGCTGTGTGACTTTGTAAGACGTAGCAGCGCGCCCTTCGATAATGAATGCATCTATGTGGCTATATCTAGAAGTTGTTACTGATTAAAACAATAATTGATTGTTACATTAAGTGTCAAAAGTTCTAGATGAAAAAATTGGTAGGAGCTTTTACCTTGTATACTAAAGCAGATACTACACTTTTTTTTATTAGAACACTTTTAATTTTAAACTCATCTACTTACTTAAATGACATGCTTTTATAAATATAGCAATGTAATCACATTTGTAAGATCACAAATTTTAACATGCTTTAGACATGTGTCAAAAGTTTCTTTGCGTGTATTTTATTCTTGAATTCTCTGCGACTCAAATACCGTCCAATACAATTAAATGAAGGGATTAGTCTTTTTCTAAATGTATAGAGTATTCGAAATATCCATTAGGTAATCTCGATAAACTAAAGCTCGATTATGCTGTTTATAATGGGTAATCTTTGGAGCTGGTACTTGCCAAGAGTTATTTGATATAGGATCTTCTTTTCTCAATCGGCTTCTGAACTTAAAACGTTGAACCTTTCAAGAAGGAAATTCTAAAATATGATCAAAAAAATTTATTTTTGTGCCTCGCACAATTAATATTAGCTGTCTAGACACACCATAAAACCACTCGACACGATCATGTTGTCAAACAAAGAAAAAGATACAATATATAATACGTTAGACATCACATTTTATAATAGAGTCGTAGAGAGAATATTAGCCTTCCTAGAGCAGCTACACCTTGTCTTTGTACTTTGTGATAAAATAATCAACGCTGCCGTATCTTGATTGTGTTAATTATATTTGGAATCACTTTGTTTGTTTTTCTTATATTTTCACCTTTCTTTAATTGATGTTTAATATTTCTTGAGGTTTTAGTGGGAGTTCCTTTTTGTGCCCATATACCAGTGGCCGAAAGGAAATTCGCTCAGATGCGAAGTTATAATTTTGAATTAATGGGTTTTGAATTATAAAAAGTGTAGCTTATTAAATTTTGAATATATTTATATATATTAAATAATGTTTTCGCTTAAATAATTTGAGAATTGCAAATGATTGGATTCTCTATTCAAAAGGTTGAAAAGAGAATTGAGAATTCATTCGTAATGTAGTGGCTAGCTTTGCCTTTTTACTACTGGAGGAGGTGAAGGAACTTTCTCTATCACATTCGCCGATACGAAAGTTGAGAATAATAGTTGGTGGAAACTGGTGGTCCTTGACCTTGGAAAACTTGATCGAATAAAGCTCCAATTTGTTATAAAATAAAAGTAATGCAATAAAATGTAAATAAAAAGAGATAGAAAGAAGGAAGAAGTCTTTTTTTTCTCTCACTTTGGTATCTTTTTTCATTGCAATTACATAGCCTTTTATATGCATAAAAAGTAAAGATGATGGACATAAAGTAAGAGATTTAATCTTTAAGCTATTCACAATACGGACATCCAATGTACAAACTATGTTATTCACAACATGAACATCCATTATAGCATCCAATGTACAAACTATTCATAACACTCCCCCTTGAATGTCTAATGTGCTTCATTAAGAACTTACAAAAAAAATATTGGGATGTACATAGTTATTTATAATATGCATTGCTTGCTGCCTCATTAAAAACCTTACTAGGAAAACTCAGTGGGACAAAACATTGGTTAAGGAAAAGAGTGCAGTGTGTAGTTACTTCCCCTGATGAAAAATCACTTAAAGTCTCGAAGACGACACATTCCAATCTTATATATCAGCTTTTCAAATATTGAGGTTGGTAATGCCTTAGTAAACAGATCAGCCAAATTATCACTTGAACGAACTTGTTGTACATCTATTTCACCATTCTTCTGAAGATCATGAGTGAAAAAGAATTTCGGTGAAATGTGTTTTGTTCTATCTCCTTTGATATATCCTCCCTTCAATTGAGCTATGCATGCATCATTGTTTTCATACAATATTGTTGGAATATTCTCTTTCGAAGAAAAACCACATGTTTGTTGAATGTGTTGAGTTATCGATCTCAACCAAATACATTCTCGACTTGCTTCGTGAATGGCTATTATCTCTGCATGATTTGAAGAAGTGGCAACCATAGTTTGTTTTATCGAACTCCATGATATGGTTGTACCTCCACTTGTAAATAAATAGCCTGTCTGAGATCGACCTTTGTGTGGATCAGACAAATATCCTGCATCTGCATAACCAATCAATGATGGCTTGAATTCATTTGAATAAAATAAACCCATATCAATGGTTCCTTGGAGGTATCTGAATATATGTTTAATACCATTCCAATGTCTTTGTGTTGGCGAAGAACTAAATCTTGCAAATAAGCTTACTGAGAAAGCTATATCTGGTCGGAAATTATTGGCAAGATACATTAATGCCCCAATTACACTAAGATATGGTACTTCGGCATCAAGAAGCTCTTCATCATTTTTATGAGGTCGGAATGGATCTTTCTTTATATCAAGTGATCTCACAACCATCGGGGTACTCAATGGATGTGCTTTATCCATATAGAATTGCTTTAAAGTCTTTTCGGTGTATGTTGATTGATGGACAAATATTCCATCTTTCATATACTCAATTTGTAGACCAAGACAAAATTTTGTCTTTCCAAGATCTTTCATTTCAAATTCTTTCTTCAAACAGTCTACTGTTTTTGAAAGCTCCGTAGGAGTTCCAATGATATTTAAATAATCAACATACAAGGCGATTATAACAAATTCAGATCCAGACCTTTTTATAAAGACACAAGGACAAATTGGATCATTCTTGTACCCTTCTTTCAACAAGTATTCACTCAGGCGATTGTACCACATACGACCTGATTGTTTCAATTAGTATAAAATTTTTTGAAGCTTTATTGAACAAGTTTCTTGGAAACTTTTATATGCTTCTGGCATTTTAAATCCCTCAGGTACTTTCATAAAAATTTCGTTGTCTAATGATCCATACAAATAGGCTGTAACAACATCCATTAGATGCATATCAATTTTTTCTTGCACTGCCATATTTATGAGATACCTGAAGGTGATAACATCCACTACAGGAGAATATGTCTCCATATAATCAATTCCAGGCCTTTGGGAAAACCCTTGTGCCACAAGTCGTGCTTTATATCTAACGACTTCATTTTTATCATTTCGTTTTCGCACAAAAACCCATTTATACTCTACTGGCTTTATGCCTTCAGGTGTTCGAACTATGAGTCCGAAGATTTCACGTTTTTCAAGTGAAGTTAACTCTGTCTGGATAGCGTATTTCCATTTCGGTCAATCATTTCTCTGTCTACATTCATTGACAGATTTTGGTTCAAGATCCTCATCTTGTTGCATTATTTCAACAACAACATTATAAGCAAAAATGTTATCGATAAAAATATTATTTCGGTTCCATCTTTTCCCGGTTGAGATGTAACTTATTGATATCTCTTCATTCTTATTATTTTCAGGTACCTGGACCTCCCCTAAGGTCTTATCATTTATTACGTCTCGGGGCTCTTCTTGAGCCACTGCCTCTGTGTTATGTTCACTTTGATCATTTGCTCCTTTTCTTCTTCAAGGATTTTTTATCTTAAGAACAGATTGGTCTACCATGTTTCAAGCATGACTTAGACTCATTTGCTTTAATTAATTGTCCTGCCGGGATATCAACTCGAATTAGAGCATTAGCAGCTGGAGTATATGACTTACTCACCCTTGGTAGGTCAGTGAATGCATCTGGCAATTGATTTGCAATATTTTACAAATGAATAATCTTTTGAACCTCTTGTTCACATTGATTTGTTCGAGGATCTAAATGAAACAGTAACAATACATCCAATCTATCTTCTTTTTCAGCTACTTATTTTCTCCCCTAATGTTGGATATACTGATTCATCAAAATGGCAATTAGAAAATCTTGTCGTAAATAAATCTCCAATCATCGGCTCTAGATATTTTATAATAGAAGGAGATTCATATCCAACATATATCCCCAACCTTCTTTGAGGACCCATCTTTGTGCGTTGTGGTGGAGCAATTGGAACATATATCGCACAACCAAAGATCCTAAGATGGGAAATATTTGGCTCCTGACCAAAAGCCAATTGCAATGGGGAGATTTTATGATAACTTGTGGGCCTTATCCGCACAAGTGCTACTACGTGCAAAATAGCATGACCTCATACTGAAATGGAAAGTTTTGTTCTCATAAGCATTGGTCTAGCGATTAATTGGAGGTGTTTGATCAATGATTCTGCTAGACCATTTTGTGTATGAACATGAGCAACCGGATGCTCAATTGTTATCCCAGTTGAAATACAATAATCATTAAAGGCTTGGGATGTAAACTCACCAGCATTATCAAGACGAATTGTCTTAATTGCATAATCTGGAAATTGTACTCTTAGCTTTATTAT